GGTAAACACGCTTAAGAGCGGGACATGGAGCACAGAGAGCAGGGCTGCCAATGTGTAGATTATTCATAGATTATGGGCCATGGTATGTACTCATGTGTGGATGAAGACCTGGTTGATTTGTAGATTACGGTGGATTGGTTTCTGGCGTACACTAAGTCTTTTTGAGTGTGTCTTCGGATAGCATGCTTGCGTTTATTGTGCTTGCTTAGATTGGGGATTATTGGATTTATAATTATGAGATACTGGATGTGGAATTTGTGGATTGAGATTTTTGTTGTGCATGCTGGGGATGTTTTCATGTTTTTTGTGTGATTTGGCTGTATGTGTGTGTGTGTATGTGTGTGTGTATGTCAGGGGTCTATGTGTGACGTCAGATGTCTGGGGGCGATTTGTATGTATGATGTAAAAATTTTGGTAATGTGTGTGTGTGTGTGTGTGTGTGTGTGTGTGTGTGTGTGTGTGTGTGTGTGTTTGTGCAGGTATTGTGTGGTTGGAGAAATTTTATGATGGCTTTTTTTGCGGTGTGTTTCAATTTAGATTAAATATGTTTATATCTGCACTGTTGTTCAAATATCTGGGGTTGGTACAATTTTATTTTCATTATATGCTGCTTGTATTTGATAAAAACAGTCAACGTATTGTTCTAAGCTTAATTTTCAGTAGTCATTACTCCAGCCTTCAGTGTCACATGATCATTCTAGTACTCTGATTTGATGCTCATTTCATATTCTGTTTATTATTGTTGAAAACAGTCCTCCTTTTGGGGATATTTTGATAAAAAGTTAATAATGGTATTAATTTAACAAAAACTGCAAATTTTAAATTCTTTAAAAATAATTAATTAATTAATCCTTTAAATAAAGATTAGCATAGACTTGAAATAATTTTTATAGATCTCTTCAGTCTCTTTTCATTTCATAAACAAAAAAAGAATAGCAAACTGATGGGTAATGAAAATATTCATGCATTCACGTCACTAGGTGTCGGTATTGAGTCTTTTTTCATTCTTACATAAAAATTGTGGTCACACTTTACAATAAGGTTCATTAGTTAATGTTAATTAATGCATTTACTATCATGAACAAACAATGAACAATGCATCTACTACTGTATTTGTTTATGTTAGTTTACGTTAGTTAATGAAAATACAGTAGTTCATTATTTGTTAACTCATGGTGCGTTGACTAATGTTAACAAGCATGGACTTGGATGTTAATAATGCATTAGTAAATGTTCAATTATGATTAATAAATGCTGTACAAGTGTTGTTCATGATTAGTTCATGTTAGTAAATGCATTAACTAATGAACCTTATTGTAAAGTGTTACCAAAATTGTTTATTTTCTTACCTGAAACTTGGTTGTTGCTAGAAGGGATACAGCTACTGTCTGAAGTTGACGAGATTATTTATATTATTTATTAAATTACTCATTAAATTGTATTTTATTTACAGCTACCCCTACATCAACCCTCAATGCAATACAAAAATATTACAAAGTTGGTTCAGAGTGTATTTGTAAGGCTTGGCTGTGTTTATGGGGTGCAAAGCAATATTTCTCATGCTGCATCACAATTCGCATACTATCCATCCTAAATAGTATTTAAAAATAGAATTTATATGTCCCAAATCGTAGTATGTTAAAAAGAGTATGCCAAAGATAGACATAGGGTGATAACAGTGTTCAAGGTATACTGCGGTTTGGAAAAGTCACGGTTTTAAATCCGCCAAAATTTTCTGCTATACCATTCCTATGGTATGTGTACGATTTTTTTACTTACGATTTAAAACTTTTTTTTAGGACAACAGTATCTCAAGCAGAAAAAAAAATATACAAAGAAGCCGTTTTAAGTTTCTTAAGTAGTTTTAAGAAATCTGTGTTTTTGAAAATAGTAAAGTCAATGATTCATTTGAATTATTCAGCCTGACAGGTTTACTGCTCCAAAATATTATAATTTTTCTTTCAAAAAATAAAATATATATAGGGAAAAAAAGGTTTTAGTTTTTTATATATAGATATTTGAAAAGAATTTATTTTAGAGCAGTAATCACAATACCGTGAAACCATGATATTTTTATCCAAGGTTATCGTACTGTCATAATCTTATACCGGCCCATGGCAAGCCAAAAATTCCCGGATGGTTTATTATTTATAAATTTTAAGAGTAGAAGCATCCATACTCTACTCGCTGATATTGCCCACAATACATTGCGCGTAAAAGTGTAAATAAACGACAAGATACATGATGTATGCGCGAGACCAACCGTCAAGTACAGAGGCTTCGGTTAAGATGTTTTATAATTGTTCATTAACATCTAGCCCACTGGAAAATATTTAAATCACGCTTTTGGTGTTATATTTATGCTGCAACAACAATACTGAACTTATATAAAGACGTGTTTGGACATTATAAAGTCCGAATGCATAATTATCCAAAGACCTGAGGAGATTTCTCTGCTTGAAAGACTCGGGAATGGCAGATTATCCTACTGCTGCATCTCCAATAAGGTAGGAAATTCATGACAGAAATGTGGATGATTGACAGGGCTCATAAAAAAGCAACAAAACGATCTGTTAACGAGGAAGTAGTACATCCCAAAGCTTGCATACTCTTCTGTTACACACTCAAAAGTATATGTTTTTCCCTTACTATAAAGTACATTCTTTTAGGGCGCAGTATAGGTATGCGAATTGCGACGCAGCACCAGTTTATCCAAAAGCTTGCCCTCAAGAGGCTCTGATTGGTCAGCTAGCATAATGTGCTGTGATTTGCGAATAGGCTCCATGACACCAGGAAGTGTCATGTCCAGTCACTAGCACGTGCTGTGCTTTAGCTGTATAAATACTGTCAGTCAGTGTAACAGCCGTGTCAGTGTGAGACCAAATTAGACAAAAAATGAAGAGCACAAAGCTAAACCTATACCTGATCTCTAAGATATAATCTGACAAGTGTCTTTCATATATAATCAGGTTATAAGCATGTGTAACTAATACGATACGTTCACATATCTTTTGCGAGTTTGTTATTTGAGATGTTTAATGCAGGAAAATCGGCTGCATAGAGAGACACTGCAGCGCTGGTGAAGATTGTGGGTGTTTACAGGAGTTTAATGCATAAATATGAATTTGTAGTTAAATTGTTAACGATGCCATGCTTGCTACAACAAACCGTTAACGCTAGAAACTGTTCATGTAGTAGATTAATTTTAACAAAAATAAACTGTAAGCACTTCTCTCTTTGTGTCATTTCCTTTAGAACAGGGCTATTTAACTAGTTTGTTATGGGGGCCGGTTCATAAAAAGTATCCCAAACAAAGGGCCGGAGAGATATGACTTGCTATATGAGTGATAACACAACTACATATAAGAGCCCATATGCTGTATTTTTCCTTAAGACACCCACGTTGGCTTTTTCTACATTAAAATGTTAATATATTGTATTTTGAAATGACATAACATCACTGCATTGTACAATAGACTATTTATTTTTTTTCAAATGTATTTCAGAGCACAACAAAAGTAGGCTTCTTCTACATTCAGACACATTCATATGATATGTTTTGAACTGCATAACAATTATGGATGAACGATTATGGATTTTCTTTGTACGATTAAATAGTCAGAAGAATAATCATGGTTTCACAGTTATCACGTCTAATGTAAATGTAAGCTTTATATTGGGTAAGTACATAGCTATTTAGATTAATTGTTGTTGCCATCTGCGTTCATACATACATAATCATATTAATAATAATTCGTCTAACATATGTTTTGTTTTGTTGTAACAAATGTTATTTGCTGCGTGCGCCCGGAAAGACACAAGCACATTGCTCCACTTGTGCGCACATATTGTCTAAATTCTTTCATTAGAAATAACAAACTTGCTAGCGGAAAAGACATGATATGGGAACGGCTGCTGCTAGTTAAACTGGTGTGCATGCGTATTAGCCTCAGTGTACATAATTGAAACTATAAACTAGCGCACAGTTGGCAACTTGGCATAACTTTGTTTAACTGCAGCATTTTCGTTCATTTCGTGCAACAGAAATGCAGCTTAAAGAAGCCTTTACGATTATTAACTGTGACGAATTAAAGCGCAGTAAAAAGGGAACATCCAAATGTACCACTTAGATTAGATTAGATTCAACTTAATTGTCATTACACATGTACAAGTACAATGCAACGAAATGCAGTGCTGGAGAGACGGCGGGCCTCGCGATGTGTACGCGCCGCCATCTTGCCCTATCTTGAATGTTTTCCCTGCCCGCGCCACTCACGTATGGTGCAACTCGTGCTGTATTGAACAGACGCATGTCACTTTATAACTATAGCGGCCGTTTTTGGACTGATCTAAATTTATTTTTTATGTCTTGCTCACACTATTTGGAGGGACGGAACAAATTGCCTCGGGTGCTGGGTTCGGCTCAGAGGCCGCCAATTGTATATTCCTGCTGTAGAAGTCCAAATACAGAAACAGATGGAAATAACAGCGTTTAGACGGCACTTTAGCTTTCTCTGCTATAACATTACAATGCATCTGGTCACGGCCCTTCGCTGCGGGCGGTGTATGCGTGTGGTGTATACACGTAACCTGCAGTGTTTGTGATCTCACTAGCCCGGGTGTATTTTTTTGTAGTCCCCAAACTTTGTTTGCTGTAGACTGTGCTAAGCTACCTCTATAAAAGCCGATGTCTCTCTTTGCATTGAACTTTGAGCGTATTACATTCTGAGATGTTGTTTATGTTCACACAGCTACATCACACATCAACTAAAGTTTAAAATATGATATCGTAGTAGGCGACCCCTTTTAACTATTGTTGTATATTGTAAAAAAATGTACTATGCTTTAGTATCCGCAGGCTGTGTCCAATCTAGATATTACTGTGGAACATGTCTTGTAGATCTCTTAAAACAGATGATTATTTCTGTCATTAGTAGTTATTTTGTAGTTAAACTATCAGCCTGTACGTGTGAATGACATTTGCTCTCTCTGCCCTTTAGGAGATGATGGGGGTTGAAAGGCAGTGTGAGGTGGCAGTACAAAAACAGTCCCAAAGGGAGTTACAGTGGGTCCAGAAACAGCTGTCAATCATCTCCAACAGAACCAATGGACCAAGCAGGAGCAAAGATAAGGTGAGAGCCGAGCTGAATGAAACTGCACCACAAACATGTTGTATGCTGCATGTGTTTGTAGATTTTGTGTGAACTAGTATTTGGCCTTTTATATATGTGTATGTGTGTCTGTATAGAGGGGAGTAGTAAAGCTAAAATGTTTATTTATAATAATGATATTGTTATTTGAATAGCTATTTTACAGTATGTTATTTATAGTACAATGTCAAATATGCTAAGTGTACTATAATTTACAGTATGTGTGTTTAACAGTACATTTACATTTAGGGCCCTATTATACACCCAGTGCAATAAGGCGCAAGACCTGTTTGCCCAGACATGTTGCTATTTTCAGATCAACGCAACCTAAATTTTTTTGTTTTCCTTGTTTAAATAGCAGATCCATTTGCACCACTTTGTGGACTCATGGGTGTTTCGGTTTAGAAAAGAGGTGTGTTAAGGTGCATTGTTGGCGCGTTGCTATTTTGAGGAATTAAAATAGATTGAAAGCAGGTCTAAAGTCCAGCGCAGAGCGTGTAGTTATTCGCCTTGCTTACACATTGCTTAAAACACACAGGATGTACAGCAATATACAAATATCTTTACAAATAAAAAAGTAAATATTTTAAAATTAATATTTTCTTATTTTTTATCATTTTTTGGGGGGGGGTTTCATTTTTATTTGATAGGACAGTAGAGAATTGACAGGAAAGCATGGGGAGCAGAGAGAGGGGAAGGATCGGCATAGGACCGGCGAGGTGGAAATCGAACTCGGGTTGCCATGAGCACCGGAGTGCATGTGTCGACTCACTAACCATTAATCCACTGGTGTCGACAAATTATTATTGTCTACATACAAAAACCAAAAACCTCCATGCCTTCTTCACCCCGGAGGTTTTTTTTTTTTTCGTTTATTCATGACAACTTGCTTTTGTATAATGTTATTATTATTAGTCGTATTATTTATTATATACATATTTCTAATTATTTTTTTTAAACAAGCTTAGATTTGCCCAGCTGTCAGGTTTTGGACCGTATGTGGCATAGCATGTATGTTTAGAAATAACTTTATTAACTTATTATTAACTTGTATGTTAATAATAACACACGTCGTTATTATTGTTAATTTATTTGTTTGCTGGAAATCAGGACTGAATTTAGAAATAGTTTTGAAACAAATCTTTGCGCTTAATAAATGAAATTAACTATTTTGGCTAATATCTGTGCGTACAACACATTTCCTCATCCACGAAATAAAGAAAGAGAAAGTAAAGGCTGATTGGAGGAGGCTCATTCTTTATCCCCTCGCTGCAGTTGTTTTCCTGCTAGTAAAGTGTTCAGTTTTACCATTTAAAAAGTCCGTCATGTAAATGGCAAATACTCTATGATGCGACGCAAGTGACTCTTTCTCAAAACACACCTATAACTCATTAAGAGAATAGGCTCAACCCTGTTAGACCATGCTGCGGTGCAGAGCGTATTTTTTCGTCCTTAAAATTGCAAAAGTGGATTCGGACACGCCCTTAATGCTTTTGCGTCCTGCGCTTTAGACTTAGCACCCAAATCGTCAAAATAGAGCCCTCAGTCCCCGTTAGCAGACGCCTTTATCCAAAGCCACTTACAATTGAGGAGGCATTTAACTATTCAACAAAAAGAGGCAATGCACACAAGAAGAGCTAGTTATATAAAGCAACTATTTGTGTTCAGAGTATTAAGTGGTACCGTTAGGAGAGGGGAGTTTTTCTATTTTTATTATTATTTTTTTTTATAGAGATATACAGTGATTGTAATGGGGCGTTCACTCTAGACGCGGCTTGTGAGAGAAAATAGCTATTTTTGCATGAGTTTACTTGCTTCATTTGCACATCAAACTTGCTTAATCCATGCATGAGATTCACTTCACAACAGAAGTGGGAGGGTCGTCTGTCTGCCTGGTAACAGTTTCATTGCTAAATAGCAAACATGGATTTTATTGAAAGAGTAGATGTGCTTCATGTGGTTTAGGAAGGCTGATAAATAGTGTAAATTCATTCAACACAATGGCTGGGTCCCCACGAGGTGCACCTAGCTCTGTGAGTTCATCAACTCCTACAGATGCTGCTCCTGGATGATGGCTGCTTTCAGTGGTACTTCCGACAGAGCAGGTCCCAGTTTGATGAGCTGTTGTCCCATGTCGGCAGGAGGTTTTCGTTTTTGCATTGACTTAACATGTAAATCACTAGCGCTTGATTCTTAATCCATGTCTGGTCTGAAAGTACTGTACCATATCAAAGAGTCTGGTGCAAGTGTCGGGTCAAGTGTCAGAGGGATAAAAGAGTTTGTTTTCAACAGGTGGTTTGTCAAATCACTGTAAAACTAAAATATTTATAGTCTTTACTGTATGAAATGAAAAGCGGTTTGGAAATTGTCCTATTCTTTACTTATTTTCTAGTCATGAACAACACATTTGGATCTGAAGCAAATGGAGCAAATGGAACACATTTGCTCCTCCCAGGTATGGCAGTGAATAGTGCCCAATTTTTGAAAAGCAAATTCATCCATCAATAAAGTAATCCATATGATTCCAGTGGGTCAATGAATGACTTTAGAAGCAAAACTGGAAGTTCCATCGCCAAAATCATAGAAACAATTTTAAATAGGCATTATCCTTAAAAATAAACTCCTTAGAAATCTAAACAACTATATTCTCACCTTAAAAATGTCTTAAATTGACCTTATATTGTCCAACAGCCACAGCATTTGTCAAATCATAGTGTGTTTAGTTTTGTGCTTGACACTCGCTGAGGGCGGAGTGATACACATTGGTGAAGAAGCTGAGTTAAGTGCTGAAACAAGTAGAATATTGCACGGCTATAAGCCAATCAGATTCGACAACCAGAAATAACTCTTTTAAAAACATATATATGTTGTAAAGTGTTTTGGTTTACCCACAAAGCTGTAAGTATTATTGGATTAGCCTGTGTGTCCTGATCATGGATTGGTTTTCTGAGGACTTGGCTTATTCCTCCATCCGGAGCAAATGCTCACTTCCTCTTTTACTCTTCTTTACCCCTCCTTTACCCCATTCTCCATCTGTTCTTTCACAGAAAATCTTTGACAACTTTCTAAAGTCACTTGATGACTTTTATGCATGTTTTCAGCAGTTTAGTTTTCTCTAGGTCCATAACTTTTCTATAAGCATCCATACATTTTTATGATTTAAGTTAGTACTTGGCTTTGGACTTAAAATATTATTGAACGATAGCAACTGTTGCTGTTCAAGTTTTTCACAGACAAGTGTTTGTGTTTGTCTAATATAATTCTATGAATTGATTTTAGTCTTAATCATTTTATGCAAGTAGTTTGATAAAGAAAAAAAATGGTTTGCCCTTTCACAATTCACTCAAAACCAACATAAAAAGTATATCTATTAATACTAGAAAAGTAAAGTTCTTGAGGAAGCCTCATCTGAAAGTTTGAAGTAGATTTAAAATTTAAACAACCGAAGTAGTTTTAAACAAGTCTAAAACAGTCATAACTACGTGTAGGTTGGCATGTTTCTAGTTTGACAGCTGATTAGTTGCTAAGGTGTTGCTAGGATGTTCTGAATGCTTGCTAGAGTGTTCTGTGTGGTTACTAAGGAGTTGTAGTAGGTCATTGCTAATAATACATTAATAATTTAACAGTCAAATTTCTTTTGCGTTTTTTTCCCTTTAGGGCTCACGAGAGTTTTATTCAAAGAATTAGTTAACCAAAACATGCAATGAATAAGGTGTCTGGACCTTCATGCCGTCCACTAGTCCAGTTTTCTCTTGTGTGAGTTGAGTGCGCCTTCGCCGCCGTGTGTGTGCTTTAAAGGCTATATAGGGGCGCACCTGACCTGACCTGATCTCTGGACCGCTGCTTTAATTTCTCAATTTAATTGCTTTTTCATGTGATAAAATATATAAATGTGTGTTCTGGTTGTGATGACAGGAGTGTTAGAAATTAATGACAGAAAGAATTTTCACTATTGAGTGAACTTCTGTCACATATATTTTACAGCATAATTGACAGTGACAGCATCACACCATATGGCAGCATCACACCATATGACAGCGTCACACCGTATGACAGCATCACACCATGACACAGCATCACACTATATGGCAGCGTCACACCATATGACAGCGTCACACCATATGACAGCATCACACCATGACACAGTATCACAGATATTGCTAGGTGGCTGCTAAGGTGTTACTAGGGGGTTGCTAAGGTGTTCTAGGTCGTTGCTAAGGTGATGCTAGGGTGTTCTGAGTGGATGCTAGGCAGGTGCTAAGGTGTTGCTAGATGGTTGCTATGGTGTTGCTAAGCAGTGGCTAAAATGTTCTAGGTCATTGCTAACGTGTTGCTAGGATGTTCTGAGTGGTTGCTAAGGCATTGATAGGTGGTTACTAAGGTGTTGCTAGGGGGTTGCTAAGATGTTCTACGTCATTGCAAAGGTGTTGCTAGGGTGTTCTGAGTTGTTTGTTCTGGGTGGTTGCTAAGGTGTTTTAGGTTGTTGTAAGGGTGTTGCTAGGTGGTTGCTAGGGTGTTCTTAGTGATTGTTAGGTGGCTGCTAAGGTGTTGCTAGGTGGCTGCTAAGATGTTGCTAGGCGGTTGCAAAGGTGTTGATAGGTGGTTGCTGAGGTTTTCTGAGTATTTGCTAAGCAGTTGCTATAATAAATTATCATGGTTCTAGTTTGAATTAGCATGTTGTTAGCATTAATTTAGTATGAATTAGCATGTTGCTAGTATGTTTATAGTATGAATTAGCATGTTGCTAGTATGTTTATACGCTTATATCACACGGCTGTCTGTAATCTGTTGTCCCGGTACTTAAGTTATAAAAACATACATTTCCCACTAAGATCCAAGCACCGCTGAGTGCGTTCATAAACACTGCTGGGTGTGTTCATAAACACTGCTGGGTGTGTTCATAAACACTGCTGGGTGTGTTCATAAACACTGCTGGGTGTGTTAATAAACACCACTGGGTGCGTTCATAAACACTGCTGGGT